AGGTAGGCGTGGTGGATGTGACGCGTATTTCAACCTCTCTCACAGGACGAAGAAAGGCCTCGCGGTCACCACCTTTAAAATGGAGCACAACCACGATTTCCTGCCCCCTGAAAGCATCGATACCACAGATATCTTCAAGGAGCATCCCTTGGAGGATTTTCGCACGCTCAGTCCGTCATCCCCAAAAAGTTACTTTTGCGCACTATGCTAAATATCCTATATTAACACGCGAGCAAGGCTTGGTTCTGTGTACTCAATTTAAGGGAGCCATGCCCTCCTGCGCCGTACTTATGGTCCACAATACTACTGCCACCCTTCATATTTTGAAGGGCCCCCGTCAACCCCAAAGCACAACGATCCCACCGCAATATGCGCTCTCGCATATTAGCCAGGTCCTTCATTTTGTAATTTATACCAGTGGAATATACAAAAATGTTTGCCTTTCGTAAAGCTTAACTTTAAAAAACAGCTTTATCCAACCAACCGAGAGCCTTAACAGATTTATCAGTTTGAGAAACCTTTTACCGGCTTCGCCCTCAAACTCTCTGAATTAAGGATAGGCAGACACCAACGCACGACTACATACGTGGTTATGCAGGAGATGTACTGATTTCACCTTAAGGTCGCCTTTAGATTAAGCGACTGTAAATTTCGCCATGCATCCAAATTTCATTGATCTAAGCCGTGAAAGACAAACAGTTGAGATCAGAGTAAATTAATCAAAGCCATGCTAGGGCCTGACATGCAAATTGCCTACTATCACATAAGATTAAGGACGGTTTTCTTGTTCAGGAGAAGAATCGTCCGAGGCCCATCGTATGTTAGTCCTTCGCACTATAGGTGTACCAGAAGTCGAACAACCAGCCTGGTTAGCAGCTGCGTTATAAGAACTACTTCTGGCTAAAGGTGTTACTGTCGGTACCCTCACACGAGGATGACCGCGGACGCGAAAGTTGGGAAGCAACTTGTCCTTGCGCCACGCAAGGCTGAGCTGGTTATATCCATCCCCGACGTGTGCATACAACATGTTGCCCTCCGATCTCAACGGGCGACCGACGGGCCTTCCCTGATATCTCCCTCGTCTTCTGCTCGCTCCGGAGAGTAGGAAGGCGACTCACCGGAGGAAAAATGCATCATATACTCGGCGAAGGCGTCCACTTTGCGAAGCGCTTTAGTGAAACGCCTGGTACCGCTCCTCTTCATCTTTTCAATAACACGACCTAGACTTTTCATCGGTTCGGTATACTTGTAGGTTTCTGTGAACACAGTCTGCATACGTCCTATGATTACGTCCGCTATAAAACTGCTTACTGGGCGTGGAACAACATTCCCTCTAAAAGGACTAACTTCACCAATATCCTTGGTAGTCAACCACCGACAGCACCTCAAAACGAGCTCGAGGTCAACTTTTTTCACGGTCATGCAGTTTACTATATGGACACAACGTAGTTCCCAATTCAAAGAGAATCGGCAACCACACACGTCCACCCACTCACTCATGCTGCTCAGCCCACTGCCGGCTTCAATATACTCGAGGAATTTATCTGACGCATAATCCACCAGCCTCTGACACTGTCACTAACACTTCACTGTCAAGATTCTTTACCTCCATCAAGCGCATCTGCTTCTTTACACAATCGGACATACTATTGTACCGCTGGCACCAATGATTTATCCTCCGATTAAGACGTCACCATAAGTGATGACCTTAACGCGGGCACGGTGAGCCCACATGCGCTGGCAGCTTAGCCAATTTGCCTGCATATAAGACCACAATTCAGGAAAATTGACTTGGATTTGCCGCAATATACCCTTATATTTTAAAAGGCTTAATGTATGCGCAGTCCTCTTTACAAAAACCATAGTCATGTCGACTAGAGTTCCCCTACATAACCTTACAACCTTTCGCCTCAAGGACATGGAATGTACATTTTAAGATGGAAATGTTCACGTCACGAAATACTCGCTCCCAGGCTTTTATTTCATGAGCATCCTTATCGACAAAAACCGTACGTATTTCGTTGGCTGCGTCGCCCATGAATTCCTTAAATTTCCTCACGACCCATTCTACTAAATCGTCCGTTCTCGTGTTTAATTAAGGCCTGATTTGTAATTACACTTGATGTCTGCTGGTAAGCGTGGTGGATGTGACGCGTATTTCAACCTCTCTCACAGGACGAAGGAAGGC